TTTTTACATATAATACGTCAAAATATCAATGAATAATCAAAATATTAGAAACAAATAATCTTTGCTATTTAAAAAATAACGAGTTAAAAAATAATATTTGAATTGTTTGAAATTGTTTGATTTCGATATTATCTATAATTGTTTTAACGCCAATACTTCACTAATTCCAGTGTTATCCAAAGTTCATCAATATGTTTTTCATGAGTTCTATATTATAATATTTCGTAATAATGCAAAAACAAGTACGGAAATTAGATGGGATATCCTGTAAGATACGTTGAGTTGGTATTTATATATTTTTTTAATTGGTACTGGTTTATTATTACCTCGCCACCACTGCTGTATTCAGACATTTTTATATCCCGTAACCAAAACTTTCAAATAAARGTAAATAATTATAGCAATTATTTTCGTTATCTATTGTTTAGAATTTATAATAGCATAATTAGTAATTACATTATTACATAATTACATAATTACACTTGAATAAACACACAAAAAATACAATTTTTTTATTAATAAATACATAAATTGCCATTTATTGACCTATTACACATGTTATTAATACAAACTATTGACAATTTTTTGTTGTAAAAATGTTACGACGATAATGTTATACAAGGTGAATAACTCATTTAAATCAATTTTCAAAAGTGTTTTAAAATAACGTTTGTAAGATAAGTAGGTGGACCCGTACCTAAATTACTCCAACTACCTGCCAATATGATGATACAATTAAATTCAAATCAACATTTAATTAAGAAGTATTTCTTCTATATGCATTTTAATGCGTACTAAACGTGCACTTAGATGTTATATATTAAAAACAGAGAKAAATACTGATCATAGATTTTGAATTTTTAAATTAAAGATTAGCATGTTGCTTACTATTTTCCTCTGTCATTAACTGAGCCAGGATTGGCGCGTACGAGATGTGAAAATAAATAAGTCTCTTTAAATGTTTGWATTAAAATTTTTTTTGAAATTTTCTAGTAAAAATATTATTATAAAACTTTTTAAAAATGTTAAAYATATCATAGTCGATAAAAATAATTAATCTGTTTAATTATTTGTAGTAAGAATGTGTATTTATTTTTGGATCACTGCCGTCGGCTTAAAGTTGTTTTTAAGATATAAACACCATAATACTCATTGGAAATAAAAGTTGTTAAAACGATATAATAAAACAATAGTAATTTACAAAATATATGTCACAACTACGTTTTCCAATGCTGTGATTTGAGTACAACATGATTACCTAAAGTGGTGGCATATAACTACAGATTTTGTATTTTTGCAGTAGTTAATGGGATTACCTAATGGTTGGGAACCATTTTTAAAAATAATCACTTATCATAACTATTGTGATTTTTTTTTTTAAGGAGGAGATCGTTAAGCTTCCTAAACTTCCAAGCACCCGTTTATATCTGCTTTTGAATAGAAAATACACGTGATTAATTACATACACATTATTTTAATGATTCTGATTTCCTACTTACCATTTTGCAAGCATATGACATCACGGAACGTACTTATGGCCAGCAGCAGTGCCAATCCTACCCCGACCACGAACGGCCTCATTATGCACGTTGATAAGTTTGGTAGGCTGATTTCACGCTATGCGACGACCACTGGAACTGTTTATGACCACTGGCATAGCGAATAGCAACAGTGTACGAGATCTGAAATCATAGGAAAATTATATAATATTGTGAAGTTTGGGTGGTGAGGAAGAGTGCATATATTGAATTTAAAAATCATTTTCCCTCACCTCCCTGACCAAAAAAAAAATAAAAATATTCATTCAGGTATCACATTGTATAAAAATTTAAATAAACATTTTTTAAGTTTTTAACACGTTTAAATGACGTTAATATGTTCTAAACATCACGGTTTCAAGGCATATGTAATTATATTTTTCTTCACGTTGTATGCATTAAAAAAAAATGTAATGTTTGCAGCTATTATTATTACAATGGACACATATCTTTTTTGTGTACATTTAAAAGCCATGTCATCGTTAAAGGTTGCGATGGAACTTGATAATGTTTTTTTTTTTTCTTAACTGTAATACAACAACAAAGCACTTGTCAAAATATGACTGATACATTATATTTTAAATTTATTATCAGCACTCGAAATACAAATTTTCACCATAAATTATTAATATTCTCAAAGTGTTAACTCAGTCCAGTTTATATAATAGCTACAGGATTATGATAGTATGAGAATAATATTTAAATATTTTTTTTCTTTTTTAATTCTTCATTTATAATCTCATACAATCAATAACTTGGGGGCAATATTAACACTTTATACCTGTATGTTATATAGAACGCAATAAGAGACCAAGAGTGAACATTGAATAAAAAATTTACTATACGTTATAGTATGAGATAACAATTTTTCTTGGGATTTTAATTTTGAATTTTTTTTTCACAAGAKTTTGAAAAATTGTTAGAAATAAAAACGGTTCCAGTCCATCCTCATAAGGCCTTATTGAACATATCCTTTATTATATATGTATAACACTAATATAACCAATAACCATCATATTAAAATGTTATTTTAAAAAGCTATTTTGTATTTTGTTAAGTTTATGAAGTATAAATAACTAATTTAAATTTAATCAAACTTGAATCGTTTTTAAGTTCATAATGCATCTCCAGTATATTAGTTGACAACACAATGTTCAAATACCGTTTTTCATATTATATTGCATACCTGCCCTCAAAATCTATTGCAATAAATTATAAAATATACATTTAAAACATCCTTTATTGCAACATAAGTAACCGATCAGCAAGAGATATCAAATGTATAGTAGTGTATTAATATAATATTAATGGGATATTTTAATATAATTATAATATTATTATACTTTGTACTAAGTCTCGATATGAGCAAAATTATGTGTTATTACTATATCTGTGGTGGTTTTTTCCTGTATGTTTCACGTTTTGTAGGCGTTATTTTGTATGTAGTGGTAACATTTACAAGCGTAAGTAAGTTGCTTTTTGATGAATATTTATAACCACGAAGTATAATAATATTACTTCCATATCGTTTATAACGCCACAAACAGTATACCGAAAAATGTAGCCATTAAACTTAGTCACACAGAGGCACTCTTATACCATAATAATGATATACGGGGCGTTTCTATAAAATTGGTACCTACTTGKTGAAGTTGTTCAATCATGAAACGTTCAGATTTTATATATTATATCATAAAAATATTAAAACCATGACTTGACTTTAAGAATATACATCCTATCGTATTCACTACGTATTACAAATAAGAAATAATATGTCACATTACATTTTTCATTTATTTCCAACCACATAAATTATTTATGTAATTTAGTGCTTTAATCGAATAAATTACTTGGCTCTTCGGCTAATGTTTCATCGTTGGATTGACGCAAACAAGTTTCTGAAAATATCACTAGTTACCAACCCAGAGAAGCAAATATCAACAGATATTGTCATATATTGACTGCATATTATGTTTACAGGTATTGGCAGATATTGGCAGGTGTCAGTAAGTAATAATAATATGCTACAAGTTTCGACGAAAAAATAAACGGGTAATAACGAAACTATGGKAGTGACAGTGGACTTACGTCTCTCATGGTTTTTTAAATTTAGTTATATTGGAACCAATTCACTGAATATGTTTATCCTATAAACTTTAAGGATGTTCGTTGTATAAGCTATATTTATTATATATAATACAACACATATGTCATGCTTTATATGTTATGCTTAATATTCAGAGCCAAACATGTGTGGTATCTTAAATACTTTTATAATATTCCGTATTGATAAAATATTTCAATTATTTCATACTGCAAGATGGGTAAATATCTTTTAGTACGAGTTCCTGTGAATGGTGGTCACTTTATATTCACATTTTGTAAATTTTATCGGGTGAAAATATTTTATTTTTTTAAAGTATTTTAACTATATGATTATAAATTGTTTGTATTTACCTACTAAATTACTTTTTTTACAAAAAATGATTCATTATATTAAATAAAATATTACCTATTAAATTATTGTTAATTTAAGTCTTTAAATAAAAAAAAAAAACAACTAAAATAATATTAAAATATATTTTTTGTATTGTAACACTTTGGGTTTCACTAATAATTATGTTTTGCTAGTAAATTATTCAAAGTTTTGTCTCTGAAATTTCTTCTMAGACCAAAAAAAATATATTGCATTAATTCAAATTTCTTAAAGTTATTTAAAGCGCTTATTGATATTTTTTGTATGTATTTGTTAATTGTCTAAATATAAAAGAAAATTAACTAATACAATTATTAAATAACTAGTAACAATATAATTTTGTGCAGAACTGAGCCAAGCTAAACAAATAACCACCAATATTGTTTAATATAATACTATCCTATCATTTTTATATTTAAACGTATTTCCACCCAAAATCCAAACATTAACTAATTATAATTAGTATACTAAAACAATTAATTAATATTATATGCATTACATTTATTTTTAATTATTTGCATGAATATTTTATTTGTGTGTAGTTATATAATAGGTATTCAAATAATAATAAAAACTTATTTTATATCAATATTAGTTAAATATTAACTAAAAATAAAAATGTTAAAATCGATACAATTTTCTCTCACTTAATTATTTAATTTATATGTTACGTTTAATTACTTTCAGTTGTTAAAATAAAATGATATTCTGTATACAATTTTAAATAATAGTGTGTTATCATGGTTCATGGTAAAAATAAAAATAATAGGAACAAATTATTTATAAATCATAAAATTCACAATAATTTCACAAATACAAGTGAGGAGTCTAATACTTAAATTTAAGGTGTTAGTGTTCATTGTATGTGTATTTTATGTTATATACCATTACAACATTCCTATATTCTGCAATAATATGTAACATATTTGTTTTTTTATAATTCTTTACGTATATAGTGGCTCTTATTTATTATACCATCTGTTAAGGAAACTGTTTGATTTAAGATTAAGTATAATTCAATTTCAATAATTTATTTTTATTTTATAGGTAATAAATAAAATAKTTTTATTTTTTGTGGCATTTTCCCACTGAACCGAGACTATATTTTGTACTCGTATTTCTTATCATTGCCGTCTTTCTAAATAAAATTCATGTATAATTCATCTAGTTAAAATAAAAATAAATCATATGTTAGTATTTTAAATACTAGGATAATATTATGGTAGATAGTTTATGATAATGTATCATAATAATTTCTATGCTGCAGTGGACATTAGTTCAAAATGAACAATCTAAAAGTCGAGTCGTATAACATTTCAATTATTTTTAGCTAAATATAACTAATTATTTTATATAATTATTGCTGTACATTTTTTGCATTAATTGGTCGAGAAAATGTATTTAGTAAGTAATGCCTCTAAGGCATCTACCTGTTTCTTTTAAATAGGTAAATAATTATTATCGTGAAATATCAACGGTAACTTTAATTGATTAGAAATTAGATTTATTGTAACTTAACTGATTCCATCCGGATTCTAATTTAATTATGACCGAATCCTATATAACTGTTAACAAATTAATCACGTGGAACTATTTTATCAATTATACTTTGATTGTAAGAAAATATGATAAAAGTAGAATTTAATATTTTGCGTCAGTGGTGGTGATTGATACTATTCAGTTATTGGTGTTGGCCGATAACCGACACCAATCAAGCATGTAACTATTTACATCAGATCCCGACGATGTAAACATTACGTATTGCCATACGAACGATTTACGTGACTAAAATGTAATATCGGAAAATGAAACGCGTTATATTTTACTGCATTTGAAATGAAAAAACGAAACGTTCATTTCTTGCTTATGGTTTGTGAAAATGACGCCTTGAACCGATCTAGCTGACGATAAGATCATCAACATGCGAACACCGCATTCGTGACAATCGTTTAAATTGCTTTTGATAAAAAAAAAAAAAAAAAAAAAAAACCATTCAAAATATTCTTTATCGTGCCAAGAGATGTTTTTTCAGGGCCTTATAATATTTTGCTATCACGGTGTATATTTAAATTTATTATTATTGTTATGATGGAATTAAAGTGGTAACTGAATTAGTCATTGAAACATTTTAGTAGAGTTCCTAAGTGCGTTTCCGAAATCGACGAATATTATACATAAGATAATTCACTAAATTCTTTATTGTTCTTATTTTTTTCTTATATTTCCCTAAATTCAAGAAGTTTACGTTACATAATATTATAAATATTTAATTCCCATGACATAATTTTTTACACCATTTAGCATTATTATGTTTTGTTGTATTTTTGTTACATGGTTTTTGTAAAATATAGCCAAGTTAAAAAGATACGTATTCAATACTCTTACAATTGAATTCATAAATGAAAATATTTAACCAGAACAGTGGATTTAGATTGAAAAACAAAGGAAATGTTTTCTGTGTAAAATATTGAGTCATTTTTATGAAATGAAAAATCAAATGCAATATTTATATGGGTTAGGTTAGAATGTTAGATTAGGTAGATTGGACGATTTTATTTTGTTTAAAAAGTACAATATGACGAGAAAGTGTTAGTTGTGATTTATCCATCCGGCGTCTTTTATTTCAATGAAGATATTATTGTTGTAATATTTGTATTACACAATAGTA